AAAAACCAAAAAAAAAAAAAAAAAAAAAAAAAAAGAATGGATTGTACAGTACTTTTAATAGCAAGGGGAAATGTTCAGTATGTATTTAATGATACAAGGAAAAAGAGGCAGGTACCCAAACTGCCTTTCAGTGTGATGTAAAAAACAAAAGGAAAAAGAAAATGCAAGCAGTGTATAGCCTAGATTCTCTTCTATTCCAGCCTCTTAACTATGGATTTATGTAGTTAAATCTAGAATGAATAACTCTTTACACACACACACACACACACACACACACACACACACACACACACACACACACATAAACGTGTGGATTATATTACATATACACATATATGTAATGAAATTATCTATATCATAGAAGGAAATTCTAACAAAATTCTTTTTCTCTGGGTTATAGATAAATTTACTAGATTATACTTTATTATTTTATAACTATTGCAATACCAGTATCTCAAGGAGAAAAAAGAATGTTTAGCAAGCAAAGCCAGATGGGAAAGCTGGGTTTTTTTTGTACAGCAACCCAGCTCCACACAAGCACCAACGTCCAGGCACACCCACAAGGTGGAGGGCACCCCCACTCCACCCACCAGCATGCAGCCACAGGAAGCAAGGGGGAGGGAAAAGAGAGGGAGGGGCCCAAGGTCTCAGGAGGCAACTGCAGCCCCGCTGGTCTAAGGCACTTCCTAGGGGAATCCATCCTATTAGCGACTTTGAGGGGCCACCCTGCACCACCCACCATTCTTGCCACCTCTGTAATCCACGTGCTGAATACAGACTCATAAAGACATTCTCTAAAGGAGCCACATATTCCCTGCACAGTCACTAATGGCTCACAGAAACAGACATGCACGGGGTCTGGGCAAAGAAGCCCACCCACTTTCAGGAGACAAGAGTGCACGTTTCAAGGGACTGAACACAGCGCATACTTGGAACCTGCAATCCAGCCAGCCACAGAAACTAACAGCAGCAGGAAGGACACCCCGACACAACCTAACCCAGCCCCCAGCCCCATGCCTTGTTCTACTTCCGGACACCCCGATACACCCTACTCCCCAGCTCCCCAGCTCCATGTCTAGTTCCACTTCCGTGTTAGAGTTTCTCTCTAAATCTTCCCCGAAAGCCGCGTGCCTCTACTTCTCCTGAGGCCGAGGCCCACCATCTGTTTGCACACCAGGGAGCACCTACCTCACAGCCCCGTCTGTCCTCTGCCTATGCAGAGCCAGAGCTCCCGATGCTCTCCAACAACCACAGGAGGACCACACGGGAGACCTCGTGTCCACCCACGGACCTCCATCCCTGTCCTCAGCAGGGGCAGGCGAGCTCCACTACAGAAGCCTCCACTCATCTGACAGGCCACACTGTAGGTGGCTAAGAGTTTGTTGTGGGTCACCTGGGGTGTGCAAAGGCAGCAGCCACGAGGGCAGTCCCCGACACGGGACAGGTGTGGGACTAAATTAATGCACTTTACAGCAGCACCAAGTTCATCGCCATTGTCAGACAGGAAACCAAGAGAAGACCAGGCATGAGCCCAGGCTCACTCACCAGGCTATTACTACTGGGTTGTTCAGCCCCAACGACCTCCAAGTATCCCACCTTCCCGGCCTCCTCCAGCCCCAGGCCACTCAGGAGCCCTCAGTGAGCAACCACTTCCATGCTCCCAGTACGCATGAGCTCTGGTGGGAAGCCAGGACATCTGGGTGGCGGCGGGAGGACTTGGAGGTGGGTTGGGCGGAGGGCCTCACTGAGCACTTCCCTTCTGAATCAGGAGGTAGGAAGTTAAAACCCGAAAAGAAAGCTGATCTCCAAGAGTGCTTTTGGTCTGGAGAGGCCCCTTCAGGAAACTAAAATGTATTCACCCAAGAGAAGAAAAGCCTTGACTACGCCAGGTGCAAGTGTAGAGAAATACGTGCCCAGTGGGCCACACAGAATTAAAGGAAGGGCAGAGGCAGATTGGAGACAGCCCTGGGAATCAAGTATGCAGAAAAAGGCTCTCAACATGCAATCAGTGAACTTACACCCCAAATCTAGGTGAGGTAAAACTGACTCTAACTCCAGAAAGTGCTTTAGCAACAGCAACTGCACCTCTGCAGCCAGTCAGGAGAGCCACCATCTCCCAATACAAAAACCAAAGCTCGGTCTGTCCTGAGGGCGCACGGGGGTGGGGGGGGCCGGGCGGGCGGCAGCTTGAGCTGACTGGCCACAACAGGAGAGAATGGACATCCAGAGCCCGATTCTCCCTGAACGTAAACAGAAGCATGGAGCAGTCCCAGGCAGCTCCAGGCCTCTACCCAGGCTAGGCCAACAACCAAACAGTTCAGAAAGGGCAGGCAGAGTCTACACACCTCCCATTTACCATCCCAGTTAATGTGGAACACAAAACCGAGCACAGAGCAGGGAGTTCGGTAACACCAGCTTCCGACAGGAGAACCCAGAAGGAAGCCCTTCCCCATGCAGACAGTGAGATGTGATCCTGGAGCCTAGCATCACCTCCAACCCTCGACTCAAACACCACCCAGCCATGGCGCAGGGAATGCCACAGGCCATCTCTCACGGCCACCCCGGACCACGACACTGAGGTTTTGTTTGATTTTGTTCAAGTGGTGTCCCACTCTTGTCACACTCAACTCCTGAGCTCAAGCCACCTTCTGCCTCAGCCACCCAGCTACTGAGACCACAGGCACTCACTCCTGACAGGCATTGTCTACACAGAGAACTCACAGCAATGCTGCAATCGAGTCAGACAGGCCTAGAAAGCTCACTCATGGGCTAAGAGTTGGCTAAAGCTGAGTCCGCCCCATGCAGTTAGTAAACCAGTGTGTTAATGTGTCTTCCACCACACAGCATGAGTAAGACAAAGAATAGCACAGCAAACAAATTGAGTTACCCATGAACAACGTGGGAAATATGACTTTTTCTTGCCTAATAAAAAAAAAGGAAAAAATCATTAAATGGCAATACAAACACTATTTTCACATCATGCCCTGAAAGGAGCCCACGCCTACCTCCAGACACCCAGGAGAACCTGACTGACTGGCCCCCCCATTTGCACCATGCACAAGTGATACATATGAAACCAGACTAAAGTTATGGAGGAAAAAAATGTTTTAGAGAAAATTCAAGTAACTAATACCCAAACTGCACACAAATCTGGTCTGGAATATAAAGAGTGTCAGTGGTGGGAGGAAGGAGGGGGAGCAGGCACAGCAGCCTGCATCTGAGGGGCCAGCAGAAACCCCAGAGGACCAACTCCTGGTTCTAAGAAGTCCTCAGACAAGCAGAATCTGCAAATACTTGTGACTCACTTAAGCCATGGACCTGGCCAGTTTAAGCGTATGTAGTTTCCTGTGGCAAGGCTCAGCGGCCTCTGAAGGCTGCCCGAGAAAATGCACCCGTCAGTCTGTAGTCCACTAGTTAGCTACAGTGATGGAGCTACAGAGAGAGGCCTCTCAGGACAAAAGGCCAGCACCAAGCCATGGTTTTTAAGATGGGGCTTTTTATATGCTCCAGTCCCAAGCCACTTCCCTATGTCTACAAAGACTGGCTTTTCTTTGACAAGCCAGAACTAATAATGTATCTGGAGTCAGGCTGCTCCTTTCCTCTTCCAGTTGGCACACACACCCTGGTTTTTATCTAGTAACGGGTGAAAAGGCAGGCTGAGCACACGAAAGCAAAGCGGCAGGAAGCAGTGATACAGCCCACCCTCGGAGCACGGCGAAGAGACAGGGATTCCGGAAGCAAGAGCAGGTGAACACTGCAAACACTGTACCAAGGGCCAATCCATAAAAGCATGTCTCATTGTTGGAAGAAACAGTACAGCATAAACTTTCCATCATTTAAGACAAAACACAGCTGTCTGGTTCTGTCTGTCAGGAAGCACGTTCCCATCTCCAGTTCAGGAAACGGAAACACTGCCCTAGCTGTTCCTGGGAGCAGAGTTCCACAGTCACTCCCTTCAGCCTACACTGAGGCTCTACATCCAAGGGCGGACAGGTGCCCTGGTCCTCTGGGATGGAGGTAAGTGCAAGAGCGCAGTGAGCCTGACTGACAACTTACTCCTCCCCTCACCAGGGCCACCTGCCAGCACTCTCCCACAATCCATCTCTGCTTCATGTCTCCTCTCACACTGTGAGATGCCGCTGCTGCCCACCAAGAAATACGGTCCCAGAGACAGAGAGATGAATAACTACTCTATTGCAGTAATCACAAGTTTTCAACACTCTTGAAGACTTCCTCCAAACTTTCTCTGTATCATTGGGGGGATGGCTATTCTAATGAGAAAATGCCTGTTGGTGTCATGCTGTTCCAGAACAGTTCAAAAATGGGCACTCCCAAGCCTGATGACAGTTAATTTTATACTTATCCACCTGAGAAACCCTAAGAGATAGAATAGAGTTCTGACTTATATAATGATATTTTACAGTGTGCTTTTAGTAGAAGGTCCTTGTTGTAACCTTCAGGACAGAAATGTCATAAGAAACAGCAATAGACCAGAATACTCCACTACAGGGATGAACAATAAAACGTTAAGAGTAGACTGTAGCCAGGCATGGTGGAACATGTCTTTAGCCCCAGAACTCAGAGGCAGGGGCAGGATGATCTCTGTGAGTATGAGGTCATCCTGGTCTACATAGTGAGTTCCAGGACAGACAGGGCTATACAGAGAAACCCTGTCTCAAAAACAAACAAAAAAAAAAATTAAAAAACAGTGGACTCCATAGGACAATCAGGTCTTCCATAAACAAGCTGTAACTACTGAAGACATCAGGAAATGAAAGTGCCTTTAAAAATCCTGTGACCTGTTCTAGAGCTGTCCCTGCTTTGCTGTTGGTTTTAAAGCTGCCTATTCCACTCACAAGAGACAATGGCAAGGGATCATGAGAACATCAGCTGCTGTTCCAGTACCAACTACCTAAAGTAAACGGTCAACAGACAGATTACAGGTCCCAGCTAGTTCCCTAGAGTAAGTCCCGACCATAACAAGGAGATAGCTATGCACATTAGAGAGAAACCAAGTCAAATGAAAGGCACTGCCATGGGAAGATGCTGGCAGAGGAAATCAAACAGGCGAGTTACCAGGCAATATTAAAGTGCACTCTTGGAGATGTGCTGCAAGAAGCTTATAGCAGATGCATAAAAATCTGCTTTTACATGCCTGAAAATTAACTCTAAGAAAAGACGAAAACAGTGTGAAAGTAGGAAACTTATTTTTTACTTCACAATCTTCTACGCCAACTGAAATTTTTTTCACTAACGACATATCACTTCTTCAAGCTTCAAAGCTTTTTAAAATTTAAATGCACACACCCCCTCCCCTTTGTTTTCTATGTTTGGTTTTGTTTCTTCTTTCTTTTTTGAGACAGTCTCGCTATGGAGCTCTAGCTGGCTGGAAACTCACTAGGTACACGAGGCTGACCTGAACTCTGACCTGTATTTGACCCAATGTCTAAAGACTTTAGGACTTTGTATTTTTCTAAACTATTCAAATAAAGGGTTTGCCATAGAGTCTGAATACAAATAATTGCAGTGTTCTTCCCTTCTCTTAAAAGAATTTGCTCAGAGTTTCCAAGCTATAAGCACGTGGAGAGCAGGCCCACAGGACCCTGCATGTTCTCCTGAGCCCAGCACAGGTGCCTTTAGGAGACTGCCCCCAGGACAGTCGCTGCAGATTTCAGGGGTGACAAATTCCTTGGGGACCAGAACCAAAACCTCTGTCCTCTGGGACTTAAATAAGAAGATCTCAGGGAAGCTCATCAGCATAAGTGACCTTCAAGACTTTGGTAACACCATGTAAGAATTTGTAAACTTACTAAAACTGATCGGTGAGTCCAAGGGTTAGGGCTGTAGCTCAGTGGTAGAAAAACTGTCTGGCACACATGAAGCCCTAGGTGATATCCCTAGAACGGCCAAAAAAAAAAGTCAAAGACTTACCCTTTATGGAAGAAGGTGGCCCGCCCTGACCTTGGGCACTCAGGGCCATTGCTGTTCGTCACCCCACAGTTAACGCTCCCCGGGATATAGGGTTTTCGGGATGCCTGGTCTTTTGCAAAGTTCCTGCAAGCTGCTAATTTGGATTCTAAAGCCTACAAAGAAAGAAGGAATAGCTGTCAAAACACTGGCCATACAGAAAACACCTGCATCTCAAATCCTTTCTATTTCAGGCTTCAACCCTTACCCTCAGGACAATGGTGGTTAGTTAAGATCATTTGTCTTTCTAGGAGAACAAGGAACATTTACACTGCCCCCCTTTCTGATGAGCTCAGAAATTTAACTAATTCCTCCCAGTATCACTGAGGAACACCTTACAACTAAGAAAATCATGGTACCAGTAGGTAGAGAAAGACCCCAGATCTTTCAACCCATCCATTATTTGTTAAGTTCTGCAATACTGGTGGAGGTTGGGACTTTGTGCATTTGTGTAGCAAGCACTACAAAAATTATCATGTAAGAATGTTTTTAATGCACTCACTCTTTGTATAGGTTCTTTGGTCTATTTTCCCACTGCAATCACACAGATCTATTCCACTCTCACATAAAACAAAGTCATTTTCTTTGGATAGCATACTGTAAACTGTATACCTGATACCCTTTGTCTATAATTAATTCACCTGTAAACGATACTGACCCTTTATCCTTTACCTCTAAATCTAATTATCTTTCCTTTACACCTATCACATGCATGCTCTACCAGCAAATGGATGATATGAAAACAAGAGGAACTTCTCCTTTTTCCACATTTGGATATCATGAAATCCCTCCTCCCCAACAAAATTTCTCCCAAATCAAGTATCTCTCTACTAGCCCCCTAAAAAAAGGGAAAACATAGGCCATGGGGGGAAAGATACAGCCCATTCAAATTCACAACACTAAAGGAAATCCACAGGTAATACAAAATTTTAGAATCTGTTTGGACATCCGACCCTAACATTTCAACAAAAACATGGAACAGCACCAAAAACAAACTGAAACTTCTTTTTCTTCTGCCCCTTTCTTATAGCAAAAGAACAATGAGCTAGTTAAATAATGACAGAAATAATGACCTTCTGGGATGCTCTAGGACTATCCATCAGTGACTTGTAAATACAACATCCACACTGACATCTTTCATTTCCTATATTCAATGAAGGGACTTGTCCGTCCATGTAAACAGTTGCTGAGCATCTGCCACAGGGCAGGCAAAAATTCTGTTTCAGGCACACAGACACGAGGACAACACTGAGTCTTTTCAAAGGAAAAGAGTGGCTCGGAGATTAAGACCATCACTGAAAGAGGAGACAGTTAAAGAAAAGACGCAACAAGATGTCAAAGAGAGATGGGCAGATGGGTGGGAATCGCCAAGAAACGGCTTCAGGGACACCAAGAAAAGAGGACATTTGAAGGAGGGGGGCATACTGGTGTTGAATGATTAGTGATGAATGTTTCAATAAAATCAGACCAGTACACATTACATCTGACCACACTGGCATCACCAGTTTCAGGGAACAGAGACCAGAATGTCTAGCGTACATATGCAGTCCAAATGCCAACAAGGGTGATGGTAAAATAGAGATGTAATATAAAGAGAGAGAGAGAGAAAGACAAAGAATGGTCTTTGGTTTTGCTTTTTAAAATTCAAAAAGCCAGGCATGGTGGGAAGTACCTTTAATCCCAGTACTTCGGAGGCAGAACCAGGCAGATTTTTATGAGTTCAAGGCCAGCCTGGTCTACTTAGCAAATACCAGCCTGTCAGGGCTACATAGTGAGACCCTGCCTTTAAAAATAAAATGGCTAGGTCTAGTAAGTAAGCCCAAGCACTAGCAGGCAGAGACAGAAGAAGCTGAATTCAAGGCCAGCCTGGGATATATATATTGAGTTCTAGGCCAGTGTGAACTATGTACCCAGTGGACGGATGGACAGACACACACACACACACACACACACACACACACACACACACACACACACTTTAAACTTCTTGTAAAAAAAAAAAAGAAAAAGAAAAACCAGAGCTGGAAAGTCGGCTCAGAGGTTAACAGCAGTTGTTGCTTTCGTAGAGGACTCGGGTTGGATTCCCAGCACACACATGGCAGCTCACAACCATTTGTAACTCCAGTTCCAGGGATCGCTCTGACACCCTCTTCTGACCTCGGCAGGCACCAGGTACATGGTGCACAGACATGCATGTGACTCATACATATAAAATAATGAAATAATTTTTATTTTAAATATTAAATATTGATGAATATTAATTTATTAAAATTAATAAAGAAACCAGCTGCAAACAAGCATGAAGGAGGCACTGACGCTGAGGTAGCCCAAGAGCAATGAGACCCAGACAAGAATGGCTGGCCATGCCCAAGTCAGACACTGTCCCACAGCATACAAGATGAGGGAGAGACCAGAAGGCTAAGAGCCGGGGCCAAGGACAGGCTTTGAGGAGCTGCACTGTGGCCAGCACAGCAGGCGAAACGGAAGAGGGCCCACAAGTAACCCCCAGCCCAGGCTTCCAGAATGCCCTAAGCCAGGGCTGTGCTGCTTCTCCAGTCTGGTCTCATCAGTCGTGGATGCGGACACTCCTCAGCTTCATCGGGGTTCTCACCACAGGAAAGAAACAGTTCAACATTAATTACCCCAGCAGTGGAACACCTGGTGATAAATAATTAAATGCTTACCCCTACTTTCCGCAAGAGATCCCCCACGATGTTCAGTGCTGATATCCTAGCGGAAGGAGTTAGCGGACTGGTTCCAAAACCATTTGGTATAGCTACAGAAAAAGAAAAGCAGAGTGATGACCTCAGCAGCTCCTTTACACTGAATTGTATTCATATTACAGACAGAACACATCCGAAACAAAGTCATCCTGTCTCAAGACACAGACAGCATATAAAAGAGAGGGGTCAGAAAGCAGCGTAGCCATTTGGCAACTGGTGGATAACTTAGACTACATCCACGTGTCACTACTCCAAACTGCTGAAAGGACAAAGACCCTTAACCATCTCAACAGGTATTTCTGGAGATCCTAACACTAGAACTGTGAGGGCAGAGGGCTGCCCACTTTGTCCTTAACAGACACTACCAAGATACTCCAAGTACAACACCTGCCACCTATGAACGCTGAGACTATGGCAGCACAGGCCGACACAGGCCCAAGGCAGAAAGCGGCCCAGTGCTGAGAAGGAGAAGTGGACACGAGCTCTGTCCCTAACCAAAAAGCTATCTCCAACTGAAAACTGCCCACAAAGGTAAAGTTAGTTTCTCCAAGGGAGCCTCACAGGGCAGGTAAACCACACTTAAGGGCAGACCCCATGCCCAGCAGTAGTAGACGACCAACACAAAACAAACTCAAAGGTATTTTTGGAGATTTTTATTGTCTCATATTGCTTTGTTTTTTTTTTGTTGTTGTTTTGTTTTTTTTGTTTAACTTTACTGGTGTTTTGCTTGGACATTATGGCTTCTGCTTTTGTGTTTTATGGGCTGGTGTGTGTGTGTGTGTGTGTGTGTGTCTGTCTGCCTCTGTGTCTCTGTGTCTCCGTATGCATGTTTCTCACTCTGTTTCTTTTCTTGTTAGCTTGTTAGTTTTATTTTATTCTTGTTTGTGCTTTGTTAATTTATTTTTTTTTTAATAAGAGAGAGAGAGACAGAGACAGAGACAGAGAGGGACAGAGAGAAGGTGTGGACTTGGGGGTGGGAGGATCTGGGAACAGATTTGGGAACACCATGATCATAATACACTGTATTTAAAAAAAAAAAAAAAACTATTTGCAATTAAAAAAAATAAAAGAATACTACGTCAAACGGGGTGCAGTAAAAGCAAGTGGATCTATCTCTGAGTTTAAAGTCAGCCTGATCTACAGAGCAAATTCTAGGACAGCCAAGGCTAAACAGAGAAGCCCTGTCTCAAAACAAACAAAAAGAAAAGATAGTGCTGGAGAGATGGTTCAGAGGTTAAAAGCACTGACTGCTCTTCCAGAGGTCCTGAGTTCAATTCCCAGCAACCACATGGTGGCTCACAACCATCTGTAATGAGATCTGGTGCCCTCTTCTGGACTGCTGTCATACATGCTGTATACATAATAAATAAATAAATCTTTTTAAAAAAGAAAAGACAGACAGACAGACTGCACCAAACCAGTAATCAGCATAATGCTCTCAATGATGACTTGAAATGTGACTAATGCAAGAAAATTGAATTTCACCACTCATTTAAATTAATATAAATTTTAAGAGTCACATGTAGCTAGTTGAGCAGCACAAATACAGAAAACTTACTGTTCTAATAGCCAAGAGAACCTTCTCCTATCACTCTAGAGGATAAAAGTCTGGATTTTAAGATCAGGACAGATAGCTTCAGTTGAGGGTGAAGGAACCGTGGGGGAGTGGAGAAAGCTGAGATATGAACTGCAAACTACCTACACTGGAATTAAAAGGCACTGGGATTGCACTTCAAGGTTCTAAGCCTGGCTACAAAATGGTTTACCTCCTTATGTGGATTTAACAAATGTACTAGATGAATTTCATTAGCCCCCTGAGTATTTTTTGTGGGCAGGTCATAACGCATCAAACAGAAAGTTCTATCTGAGTCAACCTTCCATCAATCTGAACAGTAACTCACAGAGTCTCTTCACATCTGTGTGTAAAGCCCATGGTTTTCCCTGACATACTAAGAGACAAGAGCAAGAAATAAAATTATATTTAGGTATGATCAAAAACCTTAGTATGAAGCTGGGTGGTGGTGGTGGTGGTGGTGGTGGTGGTGGTGGTGGTGGTGGTGGTGGTGGTGGTGGTGGTGGTGGTGGTGCACGCCTTTAATCCCAGCACTTGTGGATTTCTGTGAGTTCGAGGCCAGCCTGGTCTACAGAGCAAGATCCAGGACAGGGACCAAAACTACACAGAGAAACCCTGTCCCAAAAAAATTAGAAAAGAAAAGAATCCTTCCTTTGCTTCATGGACACTAGAGTAACTGAAACTGTAGCAGCTCCTGCCCCATCAGCAAATGCATTGAAACTGACCTCTAACATGACCTCAAGGAGAAAATACAAACCTTTTGGTGAAGGAAAACTGTTTTCTGTTCCTTTCCCAACAGGTGTTGCAGGCAAGGAGAGTGAAGCTTGGACAGCAGAATCCATCTTCTCACAGTCCAGAGTCGGAGAGCTGGGAGCAGATTTTCGGGTCACTTCCTGTTGTCGTTCCCGGACTGCTAGCTCTTGCCTTAAATCTGCAAAATGTTGCAAACAAAAGCAGGAATCCTCACTAGAGGCAGCAAATATTTCCTGCAAAGTCCCAACCAAAACATAAAGATATTCTTCCTAAGTTAGTACTTCACAAAACAAACTTTCTATCTAAAAATTTTCATCTCAAGAACGAAGATATGAGCTCTACAATTTAAATAATCTCTTAGAACTTAAAAACGTGGGGCAGGCTGGGTGGTGGTGGCACATGCCTTTAATCCAAGCACTCCAGAGGCAGAGCCAGGTAGATCTGTGAGTTCGAGGCCAGCCTGGTCTATAGAGTGAGATCCAGGACAGGCACCAAAACTGCGGAGAAACACTGTCTTGGGGGAAAAAAAAATTTAATGCTATAACCTCAGAGAACAAACAGTATTATGGCCAAAAGCAAGGAGGCTGGAGAGGTGGCTTTTCCATGGGACAAGTTCAGTTCCCAACCCTTGTCAGTCGGTTCACAACTGCCTGTAATTCTACCTCCAGGGGATCTGATATCCTCCTTCCGGCCTCTGCAGGCACCTGCACAAAAGTTACATACACATACACTCATGTGAATATATGAATGAATGAATGAATGAATGAATGAATGAATGAATGAATGAATGAATGAACAAACGAACAAACGATTTAAAAAATTAGAGCAGGGCACAAAATAAAACTCATAGTAAAACTAAATAACACAAAATACTCCTAACCAACTCATTTGCATATATGTGTACATATATCAAATTTTGAAATGGTAGTTTCAAGACTACTACAAAAACCAATGAAGTAAAAAAAGTTTTCTAGACCGGGTGGTGGCGCAAGCCTTTAATCCCAGCACTTGGGAGGCAGAGAGTACTGGGAGGCAGAGACAGGCGGGGATCTCTGTGAGTTTGAGGCCAGCCTGGTCTACAGAGCAAGCTCCAAGACAGCCAGGGCAACAGAAAAACCTTGTCTCAAAAAACCAAAAATAAATAAATAAATAAAATAAAAATTAAAAAAATCAGTTAGCACACACTTTTAATCTCCAAACTCAAGAGGACAGAGGTAAGCAGACCTCTGTGGGTTGGAGGCCACTATGGTCTACATAGTGATATTCAGGCCAGTCAGGGCTTTACTTTACAGTAAGACCCTGTCTCAAAAAACAAAATAGGTAAGCTGTTCAATGTAATTTTCTGTGTTTTTACCACAATTAAAAATAAGTAAGGGGCTGGGACTGCAGCTCAGGGATAGAGCACTTGTCCAGCAGGCATTAGGACACCTCCTCAAACCAACGAACCAAGAAGCACTGAGCGAGCCTGGGGCTGGAGCACGTGGGCAGTGATGCCCACCATGCACAAGGCCATGGCTTCATTGCTAGCACCACAAGACAAAAAAGCTATTAACAAACAGTACCAAGTTACTATTTGTATAGATATTACATACACTAAAATAGGTAGTTCTTCAGGGGCTGGAGAGGTGGCTCAGCAGTTAAAAGAACACTCACTGCTCTTCCAAAAGACTGAGGTCTGATTCCCAGCACCCACATGGGGGCTCACACCCATCTAAAACTCCAGTTCTAGAGATCTGATGTTCTCTTCTAGTTCCTGGGGACACCCAGCATGCAGGTAGTACACATACATGCAGCCAAAACACCCTTACACACAAAATAGCCCTACACAAAAATTAAAAAAAAAAAATTTAAATTCTAATAAAAAAAAAATTTTTCAAATGTCATCCCACTCAGGAAAAAAATAAAAAGGCACTGAAAATCTGTAAGAGATTACATATAGTTAAAACATACTTCCTTTAAAACTTCCTCTCTCCCCAGATGCACAATGACATTCAGACTATTATAAAGGAAATAAGAGAAAGAACAGTAAATGCTCCTAACTGCTGAGCCATCTCTCCAAACTCAAAACCTGTTTTAAAAACTTGTGATGGCGAGGACTGGAGAGATGGTCAGCGGTTAAGAGCACCGGCTGCTCTTCCAGAGGGTTCATTCCCAGAACCCACATGGCAGCTCACAACTGTCTATAACTCCTGTTCTAGGGGATCCGACACCCTCACACAGACATACACCAATGCACATAAAATAAAATTAAAAAAAAAAACAAACTTGTGATAGCATGTATATTGCCTATATAAACAGAAGAAAGGGAATGTGTATGTTCACTGGTCTGCTCACAGGAAGTAGTCAGGAGTTATATAGAGAAAAATATAAGGATATCTCATGTCCATCATAAAAAACTGAACCAAATATGTCACACTGTGAGTGGGCTTTTCTAATATTCTGATTTTTACTGTGCTTCTAAGGAGAGACAGAAGTCTTAAAGCGTGTACTAGCTACATGTATAAACAGCAACATATACAACACATACATGGTTCTATGTAGATAACGTGAAGATATTTAAAAAGAATCAGTAAAGAAAAAAAATCCCAACGGAAGGCAGTACTATGTTGGAAAAACTCCAACTCTGTCTCACTTTTCTCATCTAAAATATGGAGGTCATACCTACTTCTTAGCATTGATGTATGGGTGTGAAAGAAATTACCAAGTTAAAAGCAATTTGCGCCGGGCGGTGGTGGCGCACGCCTTTAATCCCAGCACTCGGGAGGCAGAGCCAGGTGGATCTCTGTGAGTTCGAGGCCAGCCTGGACTACCAAGTGAGCTCCAGGAAAGGCGCAAAGCTACACAGAGAAACCCTGTCTTGAAAAACCAAAAAAAAAAAAAAAAAAAAGCAATTTGCACAGTGATTAAAAGGCACGTAAATGCATGTAAAACTAGAGCTTCCTAGAAATTAAGGGCTGAGACATAGCTCAGAAGCAGAGTGCTTACCCAGCATGCTCAAGGCCCTGGGTTTAACTCCCCAGCAGATCACCCTCCCGGGCTCATGGACAAGGCAATGGATAAATACTTGCTAAGTTCTAACACTTACCTCTTGCTTCATCCTTTAGCCTTTGTACTGAGACCAACAAAGATTCCTTTTCATCAAGTTCACTTTCTAAAAATGCATTTCGCTCAATGGCCTGATTTAGCCTTTGTTCAAAGTCTTCCAGTGACACTATTGTTGCCCTTTAAAAAAAATGTAAAAGCCCATGAATTAAACAACATGTACAAACAGCTAGCACAAAGGGAAGCAGTCAGTTTATCTCCTGCTGTTCCTGACCCAGTCAGCCTGACCCAATTTGGAGGATGATCTCACTCCATTCAACAAAAATTAGTATGCACCTATCCTGTGGCCTCCCATTCCCCGCTATCTACTACAGAAATAAAATTCCCCAACCTCAAGTTAGAACTCAGAATGCGATTCCAATCTTATCAGTTAGTCAGCTGCCAAAATGTCTCTCCAAAGTGTTTCTTCTTTAGTCTTTGGTCCCCAACAGTCTCCCCTCTCCTGCCTTAATTCTTTTTTCTCATCTGGATTACTGCCTAATGGTTTTACATCTCCTCCTTACTTAAACTTCTCAGTATTGCCTTCTCAACTCAAGTTCAGATTTTTTTTTTTTTTTTCAAAGAAATAAAGAGACTCTCAAGCACAGCACACAGAGTCAGTCACAACCTGGCCCCAAGCACCTTCAATTCCTACACCCTTCAGCTGTCACTAGACCTGCCAATCAAAGCAGCCTATTAATGGAGTTCTTCAAACACCTTCTTGCCTCTCAGCCTCTGCACTGTCTCTCTGCCTAGTGACTTTCCTTCTTTGCAGACTCAGCTCCAATTTGTAAAAAGGCTCCCCATTTCCCACAGGTGTTATAGCTGCTCTGGAGCAGCTTGGACATCCTTCTTACTGGATTTATTTTTTTAGTATTTATTATAGTAGAAGTTCTGAGGGATCAGCTCCAAGGACAGTGAATAGTATCATGTCAATCAAGAGTCAATACTAAAGAAAAAGTACTAGGCTTGGCGCTGGAGAGATGGCTCAGAGGTTAAGAGCACTTGCTGCTCAGTTCATTCCTGAGTTCAATTCCCAGCAAGCACATAGTGGCTCACAACCATCTATAATGAGATCTGGTGCCCTCTTCTGGTGTACAAGCACACATGGATGCAGACAGAATACTGCAAACATAATAGATAAATCACTAAAACAAAAAGAAAAAAAAGTACTAGGCAATAATTATAATGTAATAGTTAGGTTTAGAATGTTGGTTTAGAACAGTTAAGAAACAGCCAGGTGGTTGGTGGTGGCACACGCCTTTAATCCCAGCACTCAGGAGGCAGAGCCAGGCGGATGTCTGAGAGTCTGAGGCCAGCTTGGTCTACAGAACGAGATCCAAGATAGGCACCAAAACTACACAGAGAAACCCAAAAAAAAAACAATACAGAGACATAAAAACCTGATTATAACAACAAGCCACTGTGGGATGAAAGCAGTGATTAAAGGATCCATTGGTCAATATTAAAGAGAGTGAAAGTGTGACTATAACTACTGAATCCAAGCTTAAGATGCACAGGCCTACAGAACAGGAGTTCGGTAATGAGAACACACAAGGAAGAAAGGATGCCTGAGGCGCACCCCTGCTTTGCTTTTTGATGTTTTGAGTCAGGATCTTTAGTCTAGGCTGACCTCAAACTCACAGAAATCCTCCTACCTCGGTCTCCAAGTACTGAGATTACAGGCACAAACCATACTCAGCTGTGGCACACACCTTTTGTCCCAGCACTTGGGAGGCAGAGGCAGGTAGATCTCTGTGAGTTCAAGGCCAGCCTGGTCTACAGAGTGAATTCCAGGACAGCCTGGACTGTTACACCATCTCGAATAAAATAAAATAATAGAGTACTTGCAGCACAGCAATGAGCACCTGAGTTCAGCTCCCAGCACCCACATACCAAACTGGGCATGATACTGTATGTGCCTGTAACCCCAGCACTATGAAGAACAGAGACAAGAGGATGGCGAAAGCACGTGAAGTTCTTTATTTAGGAAGATAAAGGTTTTAGGGAGATTTGTTTTGGAGCTGGTCTGTAACTTGCTATGTACACCAGGATGGCCTCAAACTCAAGAGATCCGCCTGCCTCAGTCTCCCGTGTGCTGGGATTATAAGTGTGCACTACCAAGCCTGGCTTGCGGTTTTAGTTTGGTTTATTTTTTTTGGTTCCTTTCAATTCAATGAGACATGACACAAGATACCGAGTGGGAAACTGGGTTCCTAAGGTCCAGGGGGAGCCTGAGCTGACGATGGTTGTCCTCATGCAATGCACAGGGTCCTGTACCTTTTTGCTCGCTCCAGGTCATCATTGGCCTGCTCCAGCTCTCTCACATACTTGTGCAGTTGCTCCTTAATGGCCCGGGTCTGACTCAAGTCATCTTCTAACACTGAGACCTGCTTGTAGCTCTGTGCATACTGATGCTCCAGTTTCTCCTGAAAGAAGAGGTGCAGAGAAAGACGCACCATTAATATAGAATCGTCTATTAATAAAAGAATTTCCCTAATCAAAGGAGAAAAAAAATCAAAGGACTTCACCACAATCTGAGTTGATAGCACACACCTCCTTTTGGCAATATTTTTAAAACTACACGGACAGAACCATTCTAAATGTCTTTAATTCATGAAAAACTTACATAATAACCATTCTCTCTCAGGAAAAAAAAAAAATCTTTCTGAGGAGTAAAATAATAGAAACCGCTGGGTGGCAGTGGTGCACACCTTTAATCCCAGCACTCGGGAGGCAGAGGCAGGAGGTTCTCTGTGAGTTCCAGGCCAGCCTGGTCTACAGCGTGAGATCTAGGACAGGCACGAAAACTACACAGAGAAACCCTGTCTCAAAAAAATAGAAACCTTGCCTCAGAAATCTAACCCTGGGAGCTGGAGAGGACTCTGAAGTGAAGTGATGCTCTTGCAAAGGACCAGAGTTTGATTCCCAGTACGCATGTCAAGCGGCTCCTAACCACATGTAATTCTAGCTCTAAGAGAGCCAATGCTCTTTTTTAACCTCCATGGGGACTGTACTCACAGGTATAGCCACAGAGACATGTATTTTAAAATTAAATCTTTAAAAAGGAAACATAAACTTGATTGGGTAACCTCTAGGTCTGCAGATGAGTACAACCAAACAAATATTCTCAAGGACCTAAGATGCCTTCAAACCATATTTGGCCACTGATCTTACTCCTACTGCACTACTTACTAGCCAGGGCAGTGGTGGCACATGCCTATAACCCCAGCACTTGGGAGGCAGAGGCAGCAGATCTCTGAGTTCAAGGCCAGCCTGGTCTACAGAGGGAGTTCCAGGATAGCCAAGGTTATACAGAAAAATCTTGTCTCAAAAAGTAAAATAAAATAAAAAATAAAATGAACTACTACTGAAGACATAGCACATGCTGGTTACAGGACATAGAGAAGTCAAGCTGGAACTGCACTGAAAGCTTCCTCTCTGCTGACCAGCTTTCACAGTGCTAGAAGCTGCCATACAGGCTGCTGGTATTACCCAGCAGAGCGCCCCACATGCAACAGTACTGGCCTGCCAGACCAGATGTGCCCACTGATGCAGTAACAGCAGGAAGGTTAGAGGAGTAATCAACCACTTTTGGATTGTATTGAAGCCTACCTCATGGTAGAGAAGTCATGCCTGCATTATAAACCTGGACAAAAGGTCACAGGCCCTAGTAAGGAACCTATTTATAGCTTTTTTGCTAAACAATACATCTATCTGTTTATACCCATAGATTAGTACTGCCTTCAACACTAGCCAAAGAAACAGACTAGTGAATGCTCAGCCCTAAATAGGACATCTCTAACAACACCATCATCCTACCCCACCACCGAGGCTCAGGGGACACCACAGAAGAGGTGGTGCAAAGAATGTAAGAGCTGAAAGGTGAGAAGGAGTTCTGGAAAATGTTGAAAAGGCTGTCTTCAGGACAACATGACCCTTGCAATCACTGCAGCTAGGGTTCCATAAGACCTATGTAAGAGCAAGGTAACAAGATCAGTTAGCATTACAACAGGCAGAACCAACTACACTCCGTGGGTTACAGGGGGGAAAGGGACAAGAAAGGGGTAGAGAACATGTTGAGAGCAGCTGAGCGACAGGAGAGGGAAGCTGGTGGTGGATGTGATCATAATACATTGTTTATGTGAAATGGTCAAAGAATAAAAAAGATATTCTATTTTAAAAAAAGAAATACAGTGGGGTAGTGGTGGCGCATGCCTTTCATCTTGGCACTCAGGAGGCAGAGGCAGGGGGAATCTCTGTGAGTTTGAGACCAGCCTGGGCTACAGAGCAGGTTCCAGGACAATCAGGGCTACACAGGGAAACCCTGTCTTGAGGGAAAAAAAAAACAAGGGGGGAAAGAGGGATACTCTATTAAGCCTCTAAGGCAGTTGATGAAGAGAAGAACTGAACTCAGGGCATGCACATGCCAGACAAGCAGTCTACCAACCACTAAACCCCATCCCCAAGGCCTGACAACTCCTTTTTGAAGGAAAATTTCTAACCCAAATTAAATCCCAAAACTCAAGAGGAACAATACAAAAAAAAAAAAAAAAAGGAATGTGCATGTCATAAATATCATTTTAAGGTAATACACAAGGCAAGCAATTTGTCTAAACAAATAATCAGGAAGCATTAGAAAATACAGGAACTAAAATATAGTGAGGACCATGACAGGCAGAAAACTGACAGCCATAACATTCCTAGGAGAACTCTAAACTCTGAACCACCTCTTGGTTCTATTTTTTAAAAAAATTCAAAAGTCTATCTTGGGCTTTTTAAAAATATGTATTTTTTGGTTGCTTGCTTCTTTCAGTACTACTGAACAATACATTTCTCATTTTTTAAATATTACTAAGTTTCATGCATGTGTACACTTTCGCACACGTGTAAAGATCAGAAACAACCTGAAGGAAAAGTTTCTCTTCTCCCACCCCGTGGGGTTGTCGGGTGAGTGACAAGTGCCTGTCCCACCAAGCCACCCGGCTGGCCCTCCATTCTCATCTGAAGAAAGCCAGTCCACTGGACAGAACTGCACAGCCAGGGAAGCAGCTTCTGCACGGTACCTTTAGTGCCTCCACTTCGTATTTCAGTCTTTGGTTATCAGCTTGCAGGTCTCTGTTTCTCTGCTCAGCCTGTACTAACTGTGCCTCCAACTCTGCTTCTAATTCTCTGCTTCCTTCCTGGAATTCAACTAGCTCATCCCGAGCTTCCTGGAAGCTAAGCAGATGCAAAGTGGGAAAGACACGTTAATAGTTGAGTCCTCTCATACAACATGTCAATTCAGTCATTTCTAACTGAAAATTAATGTTCTCATAAAATATGAAACAGTAAAGAAAATGTCTTATACTTCTTGCTCCACATATATTCAGGATTCAGTAAAAAGTAGTTATACGCCCTCCCCCAAAAAACCTACATAAATCAGTAATTGCAGTATTTACATAACTCAGATTCGCAAGCTTCTTCCTCCATAAACTGAAAGAGGAGGGGTGTGTATTGTACTAAGTAACTTCAATTGGGCATTAGTTTCAATTCTAGTCAACAGACATCAACACATTCTCTCAAACCACAATGGCTGGTGCAGATCTAAGCATCACTCACTCCTATCACTAATTCAGAACTGGGCAGTTTACTATGCTTCTCCATCTTTTTTACTCAATGCACTAATACATTATCTTAATACTACAAACTAGCTTAACATTTAGATAACGTTTTCAGTAACTAGCTTGCTCTATAATGGCATTACTTAATTTTCTGCATTTAAACGTATTTTAAGAAAGGGTTTACAGGCTTTCTTGCCTCTGGAGGAATCTGTAACATTAGAACAAATGAAGAATCTCTGCTGGACACAGAGCATCTTCATCCCCTTGGCCTGTTACAACCATAGGAAAGAACAATGGGATCTGATAAAGCTTAGTTAACTCTGCCAATCAAGAGAGGAAAATGTCTAATTGTTTTAGTAAGATTTAAAGCTGGAGAGAAGGCTCAGTGGTTAAGAGCACTGGCTGCTCTTCCAGAGGACTAGATTCCAATTCCTAGCTTCTAAATGGCAGCTCACAATCATCTTTAACTCCATCCCAGGGGATATAACACCCTCTTCTGGTCTGTATGGTCACCAGGCATGCACATAGTGCAGACATACATCCAGGCAAAACATACATACACATAAAATAAAAACAAATAAATCTCAAAAATATATATAAGAAAGATTCATTAAATAATATAAATTTAAGATTAAGTTTTGAGGCCAAAGAGCTATTTTCTTCCCAACTAAATAAAACATTATTTTATAAAAGCAATTTTATAACATGCTCTATATCTTGGAAGTTCAGCTGCCTCCCAACACTAATAATGCATGCCTGGAAAGACTAAAGGCTGTTTTAAGCATCTCAAATGAGCAAATGATGAGGGAGTACCAGTACACACAGAAGGCCAAAGACAGCCCAGTGACAAGTCACAGGAGGCAGGCAATCAGAAGAAATCATAGCTTCCTGCCATTTTAGTTTGAATTGGTGGTAGTTTTATACTATTTAAATACAAACATTGTTTGACTATGGAATCACAATCCTAAATCTGAAGCTCTAAATTTAGCCTTGTACTCCAAAAGAAAAAAACATGGGCAAGCTATGCATGGCATATTCCAAATCCCACCCCTATTTTAACAGTTTTTCAACAGTACCTTTGCTTATACTTCAAGGAAAGTTCCTTCCAATAAGCAGTTTCTTCCTTTAAACTTGAAAAATCTGGTATATCTTCACCATCCATGGTCAAGAAAGCCTGTGACATTAAAGACAAAGAACCCAGGATGTGAGTGAAAGCATAATACTGCAATTGGTAGTTTCCAAGGTTCTAGGAGTGGCCAGAACTTTCTAAAACATGAGCACACATCCTACCTCACTCAGGACAACCAACATTGTGGATGAGGTCATGACAGCAGATGACATCAGCAGGATCAGAGGGAATGAGGCATTTTCAGCTACAGCACTGGGTTCTAGATAATTTAACCACAGAATTACCCTACAAGTCCAGCAGTTAGTGTATGGCCAACTGGTCTTCAGGGAATCCAGTAACAGAAACAAACAAGTATCAGAGAATCTGCCACTCCCCACGCTTCCCTGGGGATAAAAGGGGTGTGACCCGGCTATTCAAGTGCTTGCCTAGGGTTTGACCTCTGGCAACACCTGAAATCTCAGCACTGAGAACTGGAAGCAGGAGGTCATCCTTAGCTACACAGAAAGTTCAAAGCCAGCCTGGGTTACATGAGACCCTGTCTCAAAACGAAGTGGAGAGGGAGAGAAAAGAGGGAAGAGAGAAGGAGGAGGGGAAGAAAGCTGCTGAGAACCTTCATGCCAAGTGAAACTCTACATCAGGCAAGACCCACATTCTCAAATCACACTTCTGAAACATCCTCAGTCATCCCTCAATCCAACTTTACTCCAAAGGTCCACTCATCTCCAACTGAATCATCTTCGTCTCAGTTTTCCCCAAGGTATTCACAGAAGGAGGGACCTAGTTAGTTGTTCTTGCCATTTCAACTACCTAAAATTCCCAAATGATCATAGTACAAATTAAAAACACCAAGATGACTGGCCCATTCCAGATTCCTGCCACATCTTTCCCACAATCCCCTCTTTACTTCTGTCCCAGCACCACATCCACATAGCAGATACACAGTAATGTCTACTGAATTAAACCACAATGTGCGCCAGCCAGTAAGGACTGAAGAACAGGCAGAGCCAGGAGGATCTTTGTGAGTTCAAGGCCAGCCTGGTCTACAGAGCAAGATCCAGGAAAGGCACAAAGCTACACAGAGAAACCCTGTCTGGGGGGGTGGGGGAGAGACTGAAGAACAATCCAAAACAAACTACAAGCCTTAGAAATGCAGAGAACTCAGAGCTCATCTAAACAGTTCACTTAGATGCTTAGCAATAACCCAATCACAGACCACAGCACCTACAGAACTCCAAATGCATGAGAATGATGTTTAGTGGGAATAAAACTAAAAATAACTTTATATGCTAAGTTTAATTCTTTTGATGCACAGTGCCAATTTTTCCTAAACCAAGTCTTTGCTAATCATATCATCTATTAGTATCTTGACATCTAATTAGTAAATCTTCCAGGTATCTTAAACTGCCAATCACCCTGAAAGTCATTTCAAAGGCTAGATTCTTGGCACACCTTGTACTCCTTCACGGCACTGAGTACAACAGATTGCTAAGAGAAGGCACCTAATACGCCAATCATTTACCGAATACTAACAAGATATTACTAAGCACTAATTATTTATGTATTTATTGACCAACTACACTATCCTCTAATCTGATTACACCTATACTAGCACAGATCTGTCTGTATCACTTTATTCTTAGAGATGTCTTTAGAGCATGAGAGTACTTTAATCTGAGAACCACACATGGCTGGGAGTCCTGCTGAGGCTGAGTTCTAGGGTTCCAATTCGGCCATTAAATTACTTATACAAACTGCCTACTATCTTAGGGCTTCAGTTGTTTGTTTCATCTAATAAAGGTGTGGACTAAACTAGGTGGCTATTTCAAGTATGTGTACTGACTGATAAATACTGATTGGTTCTCTAATTCTGTCCCTTTGTCAAGGTTCCAGAAATTCCCACTTCATTTGCCCAAATATAGGTCCCTGGCTGACTTCTGGTAGTCTATGGATAAGGAGGGGCTGGCTCTTCAGCAGTCAGAGGCACTCATTATTTATGGTACAGGCATCGCCCTGTGGTGTTAGAAACTCCTCAGGGTTAATACTGACGTCTCCTTAGGTAACCTAACAATCCAGATGAAGACAAAAATTACAGGAAATGTGTGGTAGCACCTAGAGTTAAAGCAACAATCCCTGTCTCCTCTAATGCAGTACATAAGATCTTTTCCCAAAGTGTCCCAAAAACTGTGATAAATTTGAATCTATATAACAAGGGCCAGAGAGAGCACTCCACAGTTAAGAGCATTTGCTGCTCTTCCAGAGGACCAGGGTTCAATTCCTAGCACCGACATGGCAGCTCACAACCATCCAGGATTCCAGTCCCAGGGGGTTTAATGCCCTCCTTCTGGTCTCTGTGGGTACCAGGCATGTTAGTGCTGCATGCAGGCAAAACACTCATATACATGAAATCATGAAAATGAAAATAAGGCCGGGCGTGGTGACCCACACCTTTAATCCCAGCACTCAGGAGGCAGAGCCAGGCAGATCTCTGTGAGTTTGAGACCAGCCTGGTCTACAGAGCAAGATCCAGGACAGGCACCTAAACTACACAGAGAAACCCTGTGTCGGGGGAAAAAAAAATGAAAATGAGAACAAATATTCCCTAGAGCTGGGAATATAGGTCAGTGGTAGAGCATTTAGCTAGCATGTATACGGCCCTGGGTTTCATCCCTATTATAATAAACAAACAAATAAATCCAACCCTGACCCCAAATTTAGATTAATTATTTCAATACTGGCAACCATGTGTCAATGGGGAGCTCAAATGTCCAGTTTCTAATATAAAAGCCAATAAATTATGGATTTTTAGAATGTTACAAAGACCAGAGATGGCATAAGGAGCAAAGTCCCACTGTGTTGCTGACACTATCTTCCACAAGAAACCAATGAAGAGAATTAAAGGCTAATCTCTCGAGTTAGTTCCTCAGTTATAAATAAGATCTTCCTTATTATGAAATATGAAATAAATGACCTGGAAGGCACAGGCTGAAGAACATAGCAGCTCCAACCCAAGACTGCAATGAAGTCCCATGGTAAAGCCTAGGCCAATAGCCCAGAGTGACTCAAATACTGAGATGGCTCTAAAAATAAGGAGGGGGAAAAAAAAATCACACATAATAGGTACTATGACTAGAAAGCTGTTTAAATGTGCAAAGTACAAGTGCTTACTCTTTTGTCAATTAGCAAAGCTGTAACTGAATGCTTTGGGCTGGCGCTCTCTCTCTCTCTCTCTCTCTCTCTCTCTCTCTCTCTCACACACACACACACACACACACACACACACACACACACACACACCTCTACCTACCTACCTCTGGAAGAGAGACAATTTAAGATTGCCTTTAACTTATGATTTCAAATCTAATCTCTTTCATCTTTGTTAGAGCCTTATTTATTTTTATTTCCTGTGTATGGATTTTTTGGTCTGTGTACCATGGTGGGGGGGGGGGGACAGAGACCAGAGAGGACATCAGATTCCCTGGAACTGGAGTTGCAGATGGTTGTAAGCTGTCATGTAGGTGCTGGGAACTGAACCCAGGTCCTCTGGAAGAACAGTCAGTGCTCTTAACCACTAAACCATCTCTCCAGCCCACAAATCTATATTTTTTAACTCAATAGATTACATATTATTTTTAAACAACTGGGATAAGTCCATTAACCCTAGACATCAACGAACTTTCTATTTTCATCCTTGAATGTGTTCTAAGTTTTGTATGTTGCTTCCAGGGTTTAATAAGTAAGTCTGTGTTCTCCATTTTACACCCTGTCTGATCTTGGTAGACACGGATAATAATATCCTAGTATTGCTGTTCCCCAGGTGAATATTTTAGCCTATTCAGCAGCCATTTCAGGCCTCTCTTTTTTCTGCCATACTGTACACTGCTCTTAGATTACACGTATCTTTGAACCAGTGTTACGTTTGAGTACTGACTTTTTATTCACCAGCAGGGACATTTTCTTTGAGTTTTCTATACTTCTGTTACTATGCAGCATTTGATATTATTGCTGATTGTGTGTACCAAGGACCAGTGTCCTCATGGGCATTTCTAGTGGCTACTAATGCCTTTCTGGACAGCTAACATTTATTTTAATGTATGGTGTTTGAATGTGGAACCAATCTTTCTACAAATAAGGTCCGAATCAGTTTTATCTATAAATTTTATTCACTTGCCCATTCACTTTTCTGTGTAGAGGTTGTTTTTGTTGTTTGAACTCTGATATACAATATAAAGGGACCTACTGGTGGCTACTGCTTTGAAGAGCATTCAGCTCAGCAATGGTCCCTGGGGAAGAACACTGTTTACACTTCTGCGTATGTTCTAAACTATGCATTTGTCTCCAGCATTTGGTCTTAAGTAGGGACATACTATTTTCCTAGTTCCTTAGGTTACACAGAAAACATAAAAAGTTGTACATATCAATAGACTACCACGTAATGTTTGATATATGAATACACTACATGCTACTCAAATAGAATTAAACATATTCTCCTGCATCAATTATCAGTTCTCGCTAGTAAAAACTTTCAAAATCTTTCCAGCAGCTCTTTTAAAATGTACAATCCAGAATCATTGTCTAAAGTTATATATTCCTTTATATTATTTTTGTGTCCTTCTGTGTATGTTCATGTGGGGGTGGGGGTGGGGTATGTTTATAAGCAGATTTGCATGCCTTTGTGTGCATGTATGTAGAGGCCAGAGTACAAGCTCAGATGTCATTCCTCATGAATGCTATCTACTTTTTGAGTTTTGTTTGTTGGTTTGTTGGTTTTGGTACTGACTAAAATTTACCTATTAGGCTCTACTGGCTAGCCAGCAAGCACCAATGGTCCACTTCTTTCTGTGCATGTGTATGCGCGCACGCGCGCATACACACACACACAC